CTGCCTGGGGACGCTGGCTGGTGCTCAGCCCGACTCTGCCAAGCTGGATGGCTGTTCTGTCTTTTGGAAAGAGAGAGCCCAGCTTTGGGGGGGCTGGGGAAGGGCGAGGTTCCTGGCTGGGCCAGCTGGGTGGGCTTTGTGGCACTGCCCCAGCTGGCTATGACCCCCTGGGAGCCCACCACTACTGGGAGCCCACCACCGCTTGGAGCTCACCACTGCTTGGAGCCCTTCACCACTGAGATCCCACCACCCCTGGGAGCCCACCACCACCAGGAGCCCACCACTGCCTGGAAGCCCACCAGCACCAGGATCCCACCACCACTGAGATCCCACCAGAACTGCGAGCCCACCACCACCAGGAGCCCACTACTGCCTGAAATCCCACCACCCCTGGGAGCTTCTGGGCTGGGGTGGCAGTGGCTTGGCAGTCCCCCCGACCGCTCCGCCTGGCCCAGGTCCCACGCTGGTGGGTGGCCGGGGGGTGTGGAGCTTGCAGGAGGAGGTTGGCAGGGACACAGCCCCATGCCGCCTGCCCTGCACAACGAGTGCTCTTGTTCGCCTTGCCTGGACCGTGGGCAGCGCTGGCATGGGGACAGGCAGATCCACCCCGTGTCTGCTTTCGTGGCCCTGCCGCCAGCCCTGCCCTGCCACAGGGCCCCCCCGCCGCATGGCTGGGCAGGGACATGGTGTCACCGCGTTGGCTTGGCTGAAAGCTGCATCCCGCAGAGGCTGCTCGGTGCTCTGTGGGGACAAACACGGTTTGGGGAGGGAAAACTGTCCCGCAGGGTTGTGTGGTACCTTCCACGAGCCCCGGGGCTAGTGGGGCTGGCATCAGCACGGGGGCTGAGGGGCGAGGGATGTGCTGGCCTGGCCCAGGCAGGGTGCTGGCAGGGTGCAGCATCTGCTGGCAGTGCCGTGTGTCACTGCTGCCCTTCGCTCTGCCTAACCTTGGGGCAACAGCAAACAAGCTGGGAGAGGCCGGGCAGAGGGCTGCCTGCCAGATACCCCGGCAATGATTAAGCTGGAAGCAGCAGGGAAGCTGGGGGTGCGAGTAGGGGAGGGCCCAGGATGCCGCCCCAGACCTTGACAGGGCTCTGGGTGACACGGGCAGCTGCGTGCAGGGTCCCATGGGTGCTCCCTGGGTGCGTTTCATCTTCGAAGGGTGCTCAGGGGTGCGGAGGGTTGTGCTGGGTGATTGCTGTCTCCTGCTCTGGCTCATCTGGATCAGACCTTTGCACTCTCCTGAGGGTGCCGCTCCCTGCCCTGCTGTGCCAAAGGTCCCTGCAGCTCTCGGGGATGAGTCCTGGGAACAGGAAAAGACATTTCCCACCCACGCGTGTCGCTGCTGGTTGCTGATACACCTTCCCTGTGCCTGGATTCAGGTGTTTTGGCAGGGCTGACAGAGCCCAGCCAGGGCTGAAGGCCGGTTTCAGACAGCGTGCCCCTCGGTGTCAGCCTGCGTGGCTTGGCAGATGCACAGCCCTGTCACCAAGGGCTCCCCCCGCCCCAAGCCCTGCCTGCGGGGTGCAGGGCGGGTGAGCCGGGGTGCACGGCCCCGCACCAGGGGCTTGCATGCAATGGGCAGAAGTGGCCGAGGGCAGCTGGGCACAACCCCTTGACGGGACGCAGCTCTGCTGGCACCTGGGAGGGGGGCACGGAGCTGATGGGCAGCGGCTAGGCAGGGGCTGGAGTCGGGTAGGAGGGCAGGCAGGGTGTGCGTGTGTGCACATTTCTGCAAGGAGAGGCAGCCAAGGGGGGGTGACTGCCCCTGGGCAGTGCCAGGGGTACCCCCAGTAGTGCACGGAGCCAAGCCCATCCCTCTCAGTCCTGTAGTCTCTTTGGGCAGGGCTTCCTGTGGCCCAAAGGGCCTGATGCCTGCCTGCTCTGTACCTCACCCCGTGGCAGGTGAGCCAGGCCACCACTGTGCTTTGGGTGGGAGGGTGACTCCTTGCCAGCTTTGGGACATGCCCGGACATCACCAGGCATCCAGCTGCCTGCACATCCCTGGGCACATTGGTGGGAGCACGCTGTGCCCATCGGGGCGTCAGCTCTGCCCTGGCTGCCGGCATCCAGGGTGCTGCCACCCACCCCGCAGGCATGCAGGGTGGTACCCTGAGATGCCAGGGCACAGCGGGAATCCCACACAGCTGGTTCCTGATCCGCCCAGGGCACATGGCCCTTGCCCCTGCCTTGGCCGGTGGGTTTGGCCAAAACCGAGGTCCCTGGCACAGCCCCATCCCAAGCCGGCCGCCCTGCCATTCCTTGCCTGCTGCCAGCCTGGCAAGGGAGGGCAAAGCCCTGCCATGGGGTGCCATCCCTGCGCCTGGGGACCCATGGGCACACACACCCCATGTGTGCTGCCTGGGGAAACCTGTGTCAGAGGACGGATCAGGATCCTGGGTCAGGATACGGCCACTGCACCCTGAAGGTGCTGCGCTGCTGGCTCTGCCTTGCTCCCAAGCGCTGGCGTCAAGGGGTCGAGTCTTTCTGCAGAGCCCCGGGACCCTCTGAGGGTCTCGGTCTCTGAACCCTCAATTCTTGCTGCTGAGTTGTGCTGGAAACATGGCCCGAGGGCTGCTGAAATGTTTGGTAAGCAGGCAGCAGAGGGGAGCACTGCCTGGCTCCCTGCCTGCATTGCTGCCTGCTCCTGCCTGGAGCAGGAGCTGCTGCCCTCTCCTGCTCCCACGCAGAAGTGCTGGGTGTCCTGGCAGCTCTGCTCTGGCTCCAGGATCTGCTTTTCTCCTCCAGGACCCCGGGTCCAGGATCTGGCCCCCTACCACACTCCCCGTTTTAAACCTTCCCCCGCTTGGAGCACCTTCCGCGCAGAGGCTGCAGCATTGCTGCTGGACCAGGGGGTCTGCAGGGGCTGGCAGCTGTGGGGACCGACCCTGCCACCACCCTGGTGCTGTCACCTCCCCTGGGTCGTGCATCAGCATGAAATTGCCAGTGTCACCGAGGGGTGCTGGGCTCTCCCCAGCCTGGTGATGAGCATCGTCCCTGACAGAGCCAAGGGTGACTCAGCCCCCAGCGCCGGAGCCTGCAGCCCCAGCTGGGAGAGCAGGGGCAGGTCACGGATGTGTCTGTGGCAGCGGTCACCCCCAGGAACATCACCTCACGTGTGGGCACTGCCAGCTCGGACCAGGCTGGAGCCTCCGTGTCCCTGCGCCAGCCGCAGCCCCTCCACCCCCACAAGCCTGGAGCCTCGCTGTGCCCTCCCGCTCCGAACACATGTCCCCGCAGCCCGGACCACCTGGGGATGGGTGGGCGGGAGTGCAGTGGGGTGTCTCTGCTGGCCAACATCTGCCCAGATTTTCCTGGCCATGGGGAGTGGCCGAGGATGTGGAAGACTCTGCCACTGTTGCCCAGGTACAGCCGATGTCCAAGCCCCCTCCACCCACGGTGAAGCCCAGAGCTCCTTGGCCTCACAGGGACAGTTTCTTCAGCTAATGAAGCAGAGACGGATGGTTAATGACTGCTCCTGGGGCTTAGATTTCAGAGGTCTTTGTTATCTGGGTGCTTGTAACTCAATCTCCCAGGCTTGGCTTCCCGGCAGCAGATCCGATAGCATGCCTGTCCCTGAAAGGTGAGCCCCTTCCCACTGCCACAGCCACCAGCAGCTGCTGGGACCTGGCTGGGGAGCTGCTGGCCGCTTGGGCCCCCCATGCTCCCCATGAGACGGCTGCGGCCCCCCGGGACAGCACAGCCCTTCTGCCACCTCCCCTGAGGGCCTGGGGGGAGCATCTCAGGACAGGTAGGGATGGGGGACAGGGGAGGAGGGGAGGGATGCCCGTGTGTATCAAAATGCTTGAAGTCACCCATAGAATGGGGTCTTGGTGGCCTCCAGGAGAGGTTTGCAAATATGCTGGTGGGTATCAGACCCTCCTTAAGATGAGGCTGGACCCCTCAGCTCCTCCCTGTCAGCCTGCGTGCCTTGTCCCCCGCTGCTGACAGCTGTGCCATGGCGGCCTGGCACAGCCCGGGGCTGGCAAGGAGCAGGGAGGTGGCACAGCCTGGTCCTCTGGGTGCTGCTCCCCTGCCAACCCCACCACATGCTCCTGCCCACCCCACCTTCCCACCAACCCAGAGCCCGGGCAGGCTGCTGATGTCCAGCCAGCCCCGATCCCCCACAGGACATGGCAGAGGTCCCGGCAGGGGTGGCACCAGGGAAAGCACATCCCCCTTGGATGCAGGCAGAGCCATCCGTAGTGGCAAGATCCTGCTTTTCTAGGCAGAGCTGTCCACAGGGCGGGCAGGCAGCAGGCAGGGATGTTGGGCAGGGAGCCAGATGCCCCTGGGAACCCACCATGTGGGACTCATCCCCCAATCTCCCACGCATCAGATGCACTCAGAGGTGGCATCCCAGCCCCTGGCCGTGGGTCTGACAGCTCCTCTCACCCTCCCCTCCCCAGCATGTCCCAGGCCAGCAGCAGCTCCCAGGCAGAGGATGCAGCGCCAGCTGTCGGGGCGCACTCGCGCACCCCGAGCCGGGGCAGCCAGCGGGTTGAGTGCATCATCTGCTACTCCTCCTACGACCTGTGCAGCCGGCTGCCACGCCGGCTCTACTGTGGCCATACCTTCTGCCAAGCCTGCCTGAAACGCCTCGACGCCGTTGCCAACGAGCAGCGCTGGATCCCCTGCCCGCAGTGCCGCCAAAATACGCCCACGCCACGTGGCGGCGTCGCCATGCTTGACCTCGACTTGGCCACCTTCCTCGCCGTCAAGGCCGACAAGGAGCACCCCCGGGTGGCCAGCAGGTCCCAGCCCGACTCGGCCACCAAGGGTTTGTGCAAAGAGAAGGTGGTCACCCAGCAGCCGGCGGGGCTGTGCCAAGACGCGGTGCCCCCGGCGCCGTTCCCCCGACGCGGCTGCTGCCAGCTGTGCCTGTGCTGTGGGGTGACAGCGGCCTTCGAGAGCTGAGTGGGAGGAGGGGGCTGCCGGCAGTGCATGGGCAGCTGAGCTCCTGGTGCATGGCCTGGGACCATTTTTGGGGACCCCACGCCATGCCCCAGACCCTCGTATGGACTGTGGTGCTGGTAGCCTGGGAAGGGCTTCAGCTTGCTTAGGGCTTGCTGTCCATCCTGCCAGCATTTGGGGTGCAACGGGGGGGCATGAGGATGCCCCCACCCCTTCATCCTGCCCACCCACCCCTCTGACAACTCAGAAACCTGGTCCAGCCATCACAGATGTCCCCTGGTCCCTGGCGCAGGGCTTGCTGATGCCTGGCTTCTCCATGCACGTGGCTTTGCAGCAGGGATGCGTTCACCGAGCATCTCCCAGACAGGGGACACAGGAATCTGGCACAGCTCAGTGACACAGCGATGCTCCGGGAAGCGTGTCCAGCACCCTGAAAGCTTCGTGCCTATTAAACCTCTGCCTCTGTTGGCCCTGCTGGGCTGCATGTCTTGGTTGTATTTGTCGGTAAGCCTTGGGCTAGCCCTGCCTGCGGTGGGGGCGTGACGGGGAGAAATTACCTGCCCTGCCGGATTGCTGTCCTTTAAGTGTTTGCTCTGTTGGCCATTTGCATGAGATATTTGGGCATTGGGGTAGCTGAAAAGTTGAAATCGAGGATGACCGAGCCCACGGGAGCTCCTGCTTGGCCTTGTGCTCCATGGCTTGTGCCAGGTTTGGTTTTCCTACCTGACCCTCTCCTAGCCTCCCTGCCTGCGCACCTGCGTGCAGCCTGTACAGAAGCCCCTCCGCTGTTTTTCCAGATCGTGTCTTTGCACGGCTTTCCCTGCCTGACTCCAAACTGGGGGTGCAAGGACGAGAGCCCAAACAGCCGGGTGCGGGTTTAACAGAGGCCAAATGGGGAGGACTGGGGTGCAGCAGGGTGATATTAATTAATACAGTTCTTGGGCAGGGCTTGGGGTTGCCTGGGCAGCTCTTGTGGCCCCTCCTCAGAGCCCATTTTCTGCATCTGTTTTTCATGGGGTTTATGAGCTCTTGCAATATCCCAGCATCAGGCACCACTGGCCACCCCTCGGGGCTCAGCAGGGGACCTCTCCCTGGGGCCAGCAGTGATCTTGTGGCCCCTGGGCACTCCTGATACTTGGCTCTCCCCTGTTCTGGGTGCCAGGGCTGCAGGCGGAGGAGTCCAGTGCCCTCCCCATGCACAGCACCCACCCTGTCCACCACACTGTGCACAGCACCCACCCCGTGCACAGCATCCACCCCACGCACAGCACCCACCCTGTGCACAGCACTCACACCACGCACAGCGCCCATGCACAGTTCTGCCACTTGGTGTCACTTGCCATAAAAAAGTTAGAGCTGAGTTGTTCCCAGCAGCCCCCAACCTGGAGAGCTCCAGCCGGGCGAGCAGTGCCACCGGGGATGCCCCAGGGCAGAGGTGCCCAGGGGGGACAGCAGAAGCATGGTGTTGTTCAGGGCCTCCATGGGGTGGGCATCTGCCTGCCTCGGATCTTTAATTACATGGAAACATGCAACAAATTAAAGCCTTCAAGGATGGGATAAAAACTAACACAGAATCCTAAAGCACCTTCCCCTCTATCTTAATTTCTCCCCAAATACTCCACGGTGGGTGGTGGGAAGAGTCTGGGAAGGGCCCATCCCACCCCGGGCACGGCTCCATACAATGGTGCCGGCAGGGCTCTCTGCTCCGCCTGGCACCTTGGTCCCAGCTTTCCAACAGTGGAGGGTGACAAAGACCCATGGCTCCCTGCCCCAGGTCCTTGCCTCTGTGCTCCCACCCGTGCTCCACTGCATCCCCCCAGCACTAGAATCAAGCTATGAATCAAGCTTGGCCCTTGCAGTGCTTCTCTCCTTGTGTCCCCACTGCTCCCAGCCAGTGGCTGGTCTCCGAAGGAGTTTATATCTGCCCCTCCATCACTTCATTGTGGGAACGGTCTTGGTGCGCTGGCTGGGCACCCTGATTTAAACCCCTTGTCCAGAGCAGGGCTGGTGTTGAGCCCCATGCCTCGGGGAACTCCTCCATCGGTCAGCACTGGCCCCCTGAGTTGTCCTGGCAGAGCGGACACTCAGAGCAGCCTGTCCTGGCGCTGGCCCTGGGGACAGGCTGTGCTGTTCCACATGGAGCCCAAAACTGCAGGAGGAGGCATTGCAGCGGGGAGCAGGGCACTGCTGGGTGCAGCCCTGGCTGGGGACGGGGACCTGGGCTCTTCCTGCAGAGTGCTGGGTTCCCCCTTCCAGAGAGGGGGGCAGTGACAGGGACCCACGCTCTGCCGAGCGCTGGCAGTGTGCGTGATGGGACAGTGGTGGCTCTGCTGGGGTTCAGGACCCCGAAGAGTCACCAGCCTGCGATTGCAGTGGGGTGCAGCCAATGCATGCAAAACAGGAGTGGGGCCAGGCACAACCAGCACCAGCCCTGTGCTTGGCCGGTGTCCCCGGCAGGCAGGACACTGGGGACATCTCTCTTGCCACATGCCATGGGGGTAGCAGCAGGCTGGCAGTGAGGGGCTGGCGGAGGAGCTGAGGTGGGTTCGCAGCCTCCTGGGCTCTCTGAGGACAAAAGCTGGAAATGGCCTTGCTTTTAATAGCTGGGTTTTTTTTTCCAATGAATTTTGCACTTCTCACCTGATCCCAGGTGGCTGCAGGCAGCAGGCAATGCAACCCCTGGGGAGGAAGAGCATTTTGGGACAGGGCTCCCTAAAAATTCGGGTCCCCATATAGCCTGCAGCTGCAGGCGGGATGAGCTGGTGCTGCAGCTCCACATGGCTGCGGGTTTGTGCCCTGCTTCAGGGCTGGGCTGGGCTGGGCTGGAGGATTCCTCTGAATTATTTCCAGATGGGGATTAATGCAGCAAACTGAGTTTGCTGCAGGATAGATAAACAAACCAAAGCTCCTCTGGATGCTATTAATAAACTGCCTGCCTGCTGCTTCTGCCCCGGATTTGGGAACACCCTGGTCCTGGCCTGGGGCGCAGGCACGCGCTGCCTTGCTGCCCTTCCAGCCCTTTGGCTGTGGGGCAGAGGTGCCAGGGATTCCTCCGTGACCGTGACCGCTGGGGTCCCAAATGGGACAGGAGCTGCAAGGGTGTGAGTGGAGGATGGTGTCTCTGCCCCAGGCCCCTGTGCTGGGCTGCGGGTGGGTTGAGGTGCTACCGGTCGTGTCCCCTGGTCCCTCGGTGTCCACTGAGCCCTGCCAGGGGCGGTGGGTGCTGGGAGGTGACGTCTCTCCTCTCCAGCCTTCTGCTGTGGGGCTTCAGGCAGCTTTGAAACTGGAGCAGGTGTAAACAGGGTGGAGGCAGACTTTGAGCTCTCTTCAACCAGCGCTGCCGTGCTGGGGTGAGGGTAAACAAGTTTTGGGCAGCAGCAGACCGGTGAGCTCACCTTTCCCACACCTTCTCATGTGGGGGCTGCTGGGTGTCCCCCAGTGTGCACACAGATGAGTGATCCTGCTGGGGAGGAGGAGGGTGACCCATGGGACTCACATCCCAACCCTCCTCATTTTGGCATGGCTTGTGGTCTCCTGCCAGGGTCAAAGAGAGCCTGGCCAAGGGCTGGGCTCAGCGGGGTGGCCCATGGCTCCCAGCAAAGCTCCCCAGTGAGGACCTCTGGGCATGGTGAGCCAGCACAGAAGATGGGGTTAGACCTGCTGATGATACGACTTAAGCTTTGTCCCACCCCAGCCAGCTATGGGGGTCCTGGGTCCATACACCCCTCTCTACAGGGCTGGTGAGGCAGTACACCCATGGGGGATGCCCCATGGGGAGGATGGAGGCCAAGAGATGGGTCTGGCTTTGCTTTTTTCCAGCTCTCCAGCCTGCAGCACACACAAGAAGTTAATCCCAGACCGCACAGAGCTGGCTGCTTACCTGGCTGGAGCAGTGCCTGGCAGAGGGAGGGACGAGGGCACGGCTCCACACCTTGCCAGCGCAGGCATCACTGCAAAAATATTTGCTGAAAGAAGTGCCGCTCCACCCCAAGGAAAACTGAGGCCGGGAGCGCAGCCCGTTCCGGGTTTGCAGGCGGTGGGTGGTGAGCGGGGGAATGCGTACAGCTGCAGGGAGCCGAGCACGTCCACCCGCTCCCCTTGCAGCCAGGCACTGCCTGGCACATTTGCTTGGGGCTGCTGGGCTCACCCAAGGGTGCCAGGCAGGGACGGGTGGCTAGGCAAGCCGACAGGCACTAGGGATCCTATCTGTGGGAAAATCCTGGCACCGGAGGTCAAGGAGCCCTCACCGCCTCGGTGGGCAGCCATGGGCTGCTGGAGGGGCCCCAGCACCGTGCTGGCCTGCCTGCTTCTCCTGCGCCCGCTGCCCTCGCCAGCCTGCCCCGCCGTCTGCCGCTGCTCCTCGGGGGAGGTGGACTGCAGCCAGCATGCCCTCCGCGAGGTGCCGCAGAGCCTGCCGGCCAACACCAGCACCCTGTGGCTTGGCTACAACTTCATCACCGTGCTGGGGCCACACTCCTTTCCTGCCCTGCAGGGGCTGCTGCTGCTCAGCCTGCCCCACAACCGCCTGGAGCTGATCCACAGCCAGGCGCTGGTGGGGCTCGGGGTGCTGCAGGAGCTGGACCTCAGCAACAACTACCTAACTGTGCTGACGCCCGAAACCTTCCTGCCCCTCACCAGCCTGGCCATGCTCAACCTGGGCAGCAACAGGCTGGGGGAGCTGGAGCCCGGGGTGCTGCATGCCCTGCCCCAGCTCCAAGCCCTCTTCCTGCAGGACAACCCCTGGGTGTGCAGCTGCAGCATCTGGCCCCTCTGGCACTGGCTCAGCCACAACAGCGAAAAAGTGCAAGGTGAGTGCCCGGAGGACCGTGTCCCCAAGCCCCCCACCCACTCCACGACGGCTGGTCACCCCGTTGGGGCTGAGGCAGGATCCAGTACCCTGGCTGCCAGCTGGCCGTGGGCTCGTGTGGTCGGTGCCCGTGGGGGTTTGGCGAGGTTCCCCAGGACCCGTGCTCAGGCCATGGCAGCTCCTGTGTTTGCTTGGGTGGATGCATCCCTGAGTCTGGTCCCTGGTGCCCACCCTTGGTCACCAGCAAGGATTGCCTGCAGAGGAGGGCTGGGCAATGGTCCAGCGATGGGCACCCAATGCTGTCCCCAGCAGTGGCACCAATCCTGCCACAGTGAGGGCAAGGCGAGCTGGGCAATGGGCACCTGCGGGGGCAAGATGAGCCTGTGTGTCAGGGTGGGCATCACTGCTGACTTGGCCAGGACTCAGTGCCTTTAGCCCCTTCCCCAGTGCCTTCATGAACATGGGTCTGATCCTGCATTTCTTCCCCATGAATTTCGGCGAGAGAGCTCTGCCAGCAAGGTCTCTCCCTCTGCTGCCACCCACTCCTGCTTGCTTCCAGCTCAGGTGCGCGCCTGTCATTCGTGCTGGCTGGGACCTTCTGTGGCATCTCCAGGCTGGCTGCACACTGCTCCCCATCCCTATCCCCTGGGAACCAGGCCCACCACCTTGCCTGCCCCATCTACCATCCTGCTCCATCCTATCCTGCCCCAAACCCATTTTCCAGTGCCCTCTCCAGCACTGCGCCCACCTCCCCATCCTGTCCCACTCCCCAGGGCGCAGGACGTAGATGAGCCTTGAACCCTCACTGCTCCCCTTCTTTGTACCTTGCCCTGGCTATCTTGGTCAACCTGGCCTCTGTCCTCCTGCCCTGGTCCTGCCTGTCATATGCAGACCTGCTATCCCATCTGTCCTTGAAACCTGCCTTGTCCCAGCTGCCCAGTGTGCCCATCAGCACTGCTTTTCTCTTCCAGAGAAGAGTTTGCTCCTGTGCAGAGTCCCAGAGCAGCTGAACAAGTACCCGATCATGGCCTTCGGGAATGAGTCCTTCAGGCAATGCCAGGAGATCTCACTGTCTGCCCAGCAATACATTGTCTTCTTGATCATTGGACCCTTCTCCTTCATGGTCAGCATCTTCTACTGCACCTTCATGGGCTCCATCATAGTCGTTTACCACAACGTGCGCAGGGCATCCCGCTTCCAGAGGAGACCTCGCATCTGCAAGGGACGCCGGGGCAGGGTGACCAGGCTTTAGCCCCAGGTGGGCTGTGCTCCATGCCCTTCTCCAGGTGTCTGCACCCCACTGTTGCAAACATTTCCCTGTAGACCAGTAAGAGGATGCTCTGTTCCTGGAAATCACTTTTCTCCCTCTTCCCAGAGACCCCCGAGACGATGCCAAGCTCCCTCTGCCCCATTGCCGGGGGGAGCAGCCTCCAGCTCAGCCCCGCTGCAGGGCATGGTCTGACCACAGATGCTCTCAGTGTTTCGGGAGGCTCCCCCAGGCCACCCTCAGACCTGCACATCCCCTTCCCAGGGGGGCCAGGTGATCCTTCTCCTCCAGCTCACCCTGTCCTGCTCCTTCTGCTGCCCAGGGGCCTCAGTGTGCATTTGGGGCTGCACCGTATGCCTCCGTGTGCCTTTTGGTGCATCCTGGGAGCCCCTGTGTGCATCTCAGGACACACCATATTCCTCCGGGTGCCTTTCAGTGCACCCCAGGAGTCTCCATTTGCCTTTCGGTGCAGCCCAGGAGCCTCTGCCTGCCTTTCAGTTTGCCCCAAAGCTCTCCTTGGGCCTTTTGGTGCCCCCAACACTCCCCCTTTGCCATTCAGTGACCCCAGCAGCCTCAGCGTGCCTTTCTGTGCCCTCAAGACCTCTTGGCTTGGCTTTTTGTGCATCCAGATACCATCTGTTTAGCTTTTTTGTGTCCTGACAGGCGTTGGTTTGCCTTTTGGTGTGCCCCAGAGGTCTCAGTGTGCCTTTTGGTGCACCTGAAGATCTCTGGGTGCTTTTGGGGCACTCCAGAGCCTCCCTGGGACTTTCAGAAAGAACCAGACCCCTCCAGGTGCCACCCAAGGACAGGGCAGGTTGCAAAATGTTTCTTTTGACAGTTTTTTTCCTTGAGACGGGGCTGCTGGTGCTGAGAAGGCTCAGCCAACAACCAAGACCTAGGATGAGGCTAAGGTTTAGGGTGAGGGCTGGAAAGAGATAAAGCCTTGAGCTCCAACTGATGGGGCTCAGCAAAGGGGCTGCCAAAGGCTGGGTGAGGCTGCACAGTGGTTCCTCCCGCAACAGCTTTTCCCCTAGGCTAAAGCTCATCCAAGGCCAAGGTCTAGGATTAGCTTAGTGATGGGAGTGGGGACAAAAAAGCCCGTGTAGGTTTGCAAAAAAGCCCTTGTTGCTGCCTCACCTCCCATTGCCCACAAAGAGGGGCTAGGGCTGCCCCTGCATCTCCCTGCCCTGCCACCTCCTGCCCTTCCCTGCAGAAACACTTCTCTCCCGCATTGCATGGAAATGCTTGGTGAGCACACTGGGAGATGGCCTGGAAGGAACTGGAGCTGTGCTCCAGAGGAAAGCACAAGCTGGGGTGACAAAAGCATCTCTCAATGAGGAGCAACAGTCCTTTCTGGCATGAGTTCTTACCCATTGCAAGGCGATAAGAGCCACAATGAGATGACTGTGGCCACCAGCCTCCCCCTGTTTGCTCAATCTCTTGCCCATGCAAGAGCTGCAGGACAAGCCAGGGATGTGGCAGGGGTCAATGCATCCTTTGGCAAGCTCTTGGTAAGGGTTAAATAAATCATGCAGAGAATAAACCAAATGTCACCTCAGCTGTGGCTTGCTCCTGTTTTTATTTTCAAGAGAGAAACCAACCCAGCATGCTGCCACACTGCTTGATTCCCACTCGGCCCTTCCTGTGGTGCCTCTCCCCAGCGAGGGCTGTGGGGGCTGCGGGGGCTGCGGGGAGCTGGTGAAAGCAGCAGCTCCTGCAGTGCTACCAGCCATGCACCCAGGACCTCTGTCAGGATCAGCCCCTTGCATGGCGCCTTTCCCAGGAGCAATCCCAGCTCTCCCAGACCCTCTCTAGTGACAGCACTCAGTCCTTCCTGAGAAGCCCTGGGCTTCCCATTTGGAGCTAAGACCTCGCTTGTCATCCTGCATGGCCGCCTGAGCCCCGCTCCTCTTTCCAGATGGTCCTGAGGCTGAGACCCCCATGGAGGTCAGGCTGGTGGTCTCAGGACATGGGGGGCATGCTGTGGATGACTGATGTTGCTTCAGTTCAGCCCAGGGGAGCTGCCTCTCTGTTTTGAAAATCCCTTGGGGCACCTCCCTACAGATGGGCTGATGTGCGGGGATTTCCCCAGATGCCTTCATCCCTTCATCCCCTGGTCCTCTGTTCCCAAAGGCCAGCCCCACGGGCAATGCTCCACGCTGGCTCCCAGGAGCCAGGGAACACAGCAGTGGCAGGGGACTCTTTTCCCCTGGATGGAGGTGGGTGAGAGCCAGCTGGCACGGTGCTGGCATTTGGACAGTTTCAGACTGTCCCCGCCCCCCTGCTGCCAGGCCTGTCCCCCCACTCTGGCTGTTCAGGCTGTTCATCAGCCTGGCAGCCTGGAATGGTGATGTCCCTTCCTTCCCAGTCTTCCCTGAAGCTCCTGGCCTTTCTTCCTGCTGGCTTCTCTGTCCCTCCCCATCCCTCCAACTTTTACTGCTTGTAAACCCTGCAGCAGTGCTGGGTGAGGCTCTGATTCAGCACAGGGCTCCCTGCCAGCTTTGCCAGAAGGCAGAGACAGAAAGAGGCACACAGCACTGGAATAAACCACTTCATGTTCCAGTCTAGACTTTACTGAGCTCTTGCAAAAACTTGGTATTAATGTTACATTGACGTATAAAGTAGAATGGGTCCAATTTCTCAGCTGGAGCAAGTTGAAGTTGATGGAGCCACTGCAGTCAGTGGGACGATGCTCACAGACCTCAGCTGCCGTCTGAAAATCCTGCCTGCAAAGGCTGCCGACCCTTGGGGGAAGCCCCATCTGCTCGGCTGGGGCAAGGAGAAGGCAGTTCATGCCGCTGGGGCTTGGTACCACGTTGCAGGTAGGTTTTCTGCCTTCACAGGAGGCGGGATGCGATGTTGCCTGTGCCCGTGCTGTAGCTGCTCATCACCAGCCTGGCTGGTGCCAGATGCTTCCCCAACACTGGTGTCTCTGTACCCGCCCACAGCGCCCACAGGGAGGGTGCTCGGGGATGCTGACACATGGGCACGTATGCTTGAGGGGAGGAAAGTGTGAGGAGGATCGGCATCAGCTTGGGTTATTTGGTTCCCTTCTCCTGAACTGGGATGTGGTTTCCATGTCTCCAGGTTCAGGCAGATGCAGCCACGTCAGCTGGGGCTTCAGGGCTGCCATGGGAGCTGCTCGCAAGCTTGAACTCCAGGTGAGTGTGGCAGGGAAGCTGCCGGTGCCTGCTGAGGTGCCCTGACACTGCAGGCAGGCTGGGTGGCCGCTGTAGACGCTGCAGCACACAGCAAGCCGCGACCGGCCAGCAGCATCTCTCCTTGCATTGCTGGTGCTGAGGCAGTGTGAAGCTTGGCTAAAGGTCAATGCAACCATCCAGAGCCATTCCCCATAGAGATGTTCCTGGCCAGGAGAGCCATGGTGTGAGAGCTACATGCTGGCCATGGCCAGGTCCTGGGGATGTCTTCTGTGCAGGAGAGGTAGGGAGCCAGGATCTTGGCTGACAGCATGTTATGAGCTCCAGAGTTCCATGTTTAGCCCAGGAGCGTGGGCTGCAGGGCTGGGAGCACTCCTGCTACAAACAGACCATGCACAGGAGCCAAGTCATAGCCACGGGCTGATGGGAGGGAGGAGCAGGGGGTTCACCCCTGTGAGGAGCAGAGCACACATCTTCCAGCCCCTGCTGCAGAAGCACAGCAGGAACATGTGCCCAGCCTGCCAAGCCGCGCCTGCTGCTCCAGCCTCTTGGGACCATGAGCACGTCGCACTGGAGCCATCCGGGATGGTGGGAGACATGGAGCACAGGTCTGACGGGCCGTGTGTGTGCTGAGAAGCCTGAAGCCTGCAAAGTGAAGCACATTTTTGTAGTCTGGCACCAGCTCTTCCACACTACCGTGGGAGAGCAGGCACCATGTGCCTTTCGAAGTCCTTTGCCCTTGCACATAGCCGGTCAGCGGCAATACTGATTATCAACAGCACTGGTTGGAAGCAATTATCTCTGTACACTGAAGTCCAAACCATGTCCTGGTTCTGCCGTGCATTCTGGGGCACGAGCATGGCAGCAGGCCTAGGAAGGGAGGGAGATATACAATGAAGTCACTGTGTATGGATGAAGGATGCTTTCCTCCCATCTCACCCAGAAGAACCCATCAGTGTCCCTTGAAAGGCAGTCCTGGCTGTGCCTTCCTACTGTGTTGGGCAAGGACTGATGGCCCTCGGGGAGAAGGTCACACCACAGTGCTGACTGAGGGGTCGGAGAGGTTGAGCTGGCCGGTGATGTCGGTGGGATGATATTGCTGCAACACACAAATACACAGACAAGGAGAAAGAAGTGTTAGGCAGTTCTGGTACTTGCCCCCAGCTCTACTTACATCCCATGTGTCCCTACAGGTTATCTCTTGGGGGTGATGCAACGGCCCGAAACCTGCTGCTGGCTGAGGTCCCCTTCCCAGTGCAATCCAAGCTTGTGCAGAGGTCGGTGCAGACACTCTCCAAGCACCCTACAGCTGGGCAGGGAGGACGCCCAGGAGCGCGGCGCAGCTTCTGCAGAGTGCGGCAGGCGCGTCGCCCTCTGAGCGAGCCCCTCTGCG